CATAAATGCTAATTCCAAGTAACATAGAAAAAAAGCATGCAGTAACTCTGTGCTTAAAAAGCCGCTGCATATTGTAACGTTATTAAGTTGTAGAAACAAATTACTGAAATAACCCAACTAACTGTCTGTGCCAATGATAACACGTAATAACTGTGGGCAAACACAGCGTATAGTTGCTAGTGTGTTTCCTTTTTCACATGATGGTTGTAGGCAATTCCTGCCAGATGGGCTGATAATGTAATTAGGAATCATTGTGTTAAATGAGGCAGTATTTAAATCGGCAACTAATTTTCCTATCTATTAACCAGCTTGACAAAGAAGAGCTGTTACCCAAATGATTTCTGGCTACTAATCACTGACAAGAAACGTGGCACTTTGCACCATTTCTTAAGCACTGTCTAGTAAATTATTTTCTGTAGGGTTTCTTATGTGTGGGACAAAATAAGAGAGGGAGTTAAGAGATGTTATAAGTTCAGGGGTTATTAGATGGGGTGGACTTCTACTAAACCTGCTCATCATGATGTGTGGTAACAGCTCATGAGCCAGTAATGGAATGCTTCCTATTTTTAGTCTCTAAATGTGGAAAAAAAAAATTATTTTGTGATAGTTCACTGTGTGGCATACTCCATCAAGCAGAGTAGGACTATAAGCCCTATTTTAAGTGTGTGTGTGGGAGAAATCATGAAAGTACAGCAGGACAAGATTTTGAACAGCATATGAACATTAGTAGTGTGGAACAGTCACTCTTTATTGGTGATGGGAAAGAAGAGACAAGAAAGAGGTACCCTTGGGTCAAGTTAAAATTGCAGAGAAGGCATGAGCATTTGTTGCTTTCTTCATTAACTCCCATGGAGTCAGCTTCTTTGGTCTTCTGGTTTATGTGGTGGAAGTTACAAATTGCCTGTCATTGAGATTTTGATTGAACCCAAGAGTAAATGTAAGGCTGAATGAGATTTATTATTATATTTATGGCTTTATCTGTGCAAATCTTATTCCTGTTTTTTTTTTTTTTTTTTTCCCTCTATGCTTCAGCTGAAGCAGGGATGAAGAGCTGAATGAATATATGTTTGCAGCCTGGTTTCTTCTGTCCAGTGGTGAAACTTTACTGCTTGACCTAAAATGATCAGACCCATTAACCTGAAAAAGCCTACAGTGGATTTTTCCGTTGGACAGTCTTTTAATGGGGATGAAGATTATCGCTAGCTCAGTGTGGGTTACCCAGGGAATCACATCAGAAGCAGCAGCATGCCAGGGTTGCGTGCGAGCCTTAGGATTCCCACCTGCAAGAGGCCGTGTATGCTAAACCATGCAGAGAGCTGCTCCAAAGAAATGCATTATGCACTCGTAGCCCCTGGGATTTGTTTTCTGTGTTTTTCTGAAAGTTGCCAAAAACTCCTGACCTCAAACTAAGACAGGAAAGAGAAACTTAGACCAAGTCTGAATAAGGCATAGATCAGAACAGAGACAGTATCTGTCCCTGCTAGAGGCTGTTAGCAACCTCTATGCAACAAAAATGGAATGATTGCCATGTTTTATCACTTTTCCTTGAAAATGTGGAGGAAGTCACTTTCTGAATGAATAGTGGGATAGCTGTTCACCAAGCAGCTAAATGAGGCATAGATAATGGCAAAGTGTTGATGACACTGCGCTGATGCCACTTGCTGTAACATATAGGGCAGGTGTCTGAACCACAGACAGACAAAGCTTTGCTGAATGGAAACAATATGACAGATCAATAGCATT